TGGAATATATTCACAGATCTTATTAGGGAGACTTACCTGCTAAGCGCCAGCATCACTGGCTCTCCAAGGCACTTCCAATGTCACTGAAGTCAAATCTCACAGAGATGTGAAAGTAACTGGCTTCCCAATGCTGGATGGTCATATATGTTTGAAGCTTTTCCTGTGCTGCCTGCTGTTGACTTGCAGTCTTGCTACAGTTTATGTAAGCTGTTGCCCAGACCCGCCAGCTGCACTCCCATCTCATCCTTTTGATAAGGCACGTGTGGCTTTTCAGAGAGGCCGGAATGCGGGTGGGCTGCGCTGGGATACTCTGCGGTGTCACCAGAAGCGGTGCTGATAAAGCGGGCAACCTACTGCTGCCCTATGAATCACTGCAGAGCCAAATCCCAAAGTGGTTTTAAGCAGAGCTGTGCTGCTAAGTGCTGCTTTTTGTGTGAGATATACAAAGGAAGTCCCTAACGGTTATTTCACCAGCACGCAGTAAAGAATTGATCCCGCTATCCTAATTAAGTTTCTGCTTTGGTAATTACAGTCTTCTCCTTCACCTTTTCAGATAGATACTTCCCTTTTTGCCTCTCACTCTTGCGATACTGACAGATGCTATGACACATTTGCTGTTTCCCCCTGGAAGTTATCTTACAGATGCTACTTGGAGAAAATTGCTCCAAAATCTGGAACTGCTGTAGCAGCATAAAACGTTGATTAATTATTAATAACTGTATCTACATAAATTTGCCTGGGACTTTTTAACATTTTTTTTAAAGGAAGCTAACAAATCTAATGAATTTACCCAACTATTACTTCTGCTGCCTAGAGATATCAAGGGATAGACAGAGTAGCTTTAAACTCCTGCCAGAGAACAGGCAGCAGAGCTTTACTTCTCTGCACAGCATATTGGATGGACCTACTGGCTACAGAACAAGCAGGTCAGCTCCTCTGCATTCTCATCCCATTTCCACCAGTTCAGTGACAGTTTAAGGTCCAAGACGGATGTCAGAGGAGAGCAGGTGCCATGTCCTGGTCCCATTGCAATGAGACTCGATTTGTAGCTCCATCCAATGTGAAGCACATTCCCCCATTCACAGATATCAAATTGCCGTGAATTGCATAGGTACCAGTGCCCTGTGTGGCTTCCAGCAAGAATCTGGGGACCTCCAGCCCAGCGTTAGGGTTAGGCTAAATAAACAATTCAGATGCTGTTTAGAAGCAGTTCTGCTTGTCTGTGGATGGAATTTGGGTCTCAGGAATGATAATTTTACATAGGATGATCAAACAATTTTATAATCAGCCTGCAGTGCTGCACGGATCATTAAAGGGGTCAGGGAAAGGAAATCTCACCTAAAATTGAGAATTTGAGGTCTGTCAATACTTATTGTCTCAGAGCAACCTCTGCTCTTAACTGTGAGATGCACAGAGCAGCAATGGGGCGAGACACGACGATCA